GGTCTTCGTGAAGTCCTTATTGCTACAAATCAGGGGACATTTACTGTTATTCTTAAGATTTTGTTTTGACAAATTTGTAACTTATTTAATGTGGTTGGGGCAGCTAAAGCAGGGCATGTGAAAGTTAATATCGGACGATTTGTAAATAGTTAAAGAGGAATGCATTTTTAAAGAAGAGTTGTGGTTGGCCGTCTATTGGCTTCAATTATTTTCGACGAGAGATGACAGGCAATTTAATCTTGTGTCTATGAAAAGGCTTAGATAACGAATAGATGAATTTAGAGGAAATCTCGGAAAGGTACAAGACATCGCCGATTACACAACTTCTTTCCAGAATAAGAAATCGAGCCATGAGTCATAAACCCAAAGGAGACCCCATTTTTATTAACATGAACGGCATCGGGATATTACAATAAATATTACGTCAATACGAGTAATTCACGTATACAGAGTGGGGCATAGTCACGAAATACAGGTTGTCAGGGCGATGATTAAATAATCAAATCTCCGTGTAATGGAAACAATATTTGTGGGGGAGGTGTAAGGCTGGAGACGGTCTACAGCGAAAGTTTCACAGCGAGAAACCTGTGACGAGAAATGAGGAAAGGCCGGTGAGGCTGCGTCCACACACTACAAATGGGTTATTCGGTGTCTCGAAATGCCTTTATGTGCCACAAACCGAGAGGGATGACAGCAGTTAGCTACGAGATCCGCTGCGGATCCCGTATCTTGTTTTATGAAATGCTCTTGTGTAATTTTAACCCTAGAAATCCTTGTTTTGTTACAATAATTGTAAACCATCAGTTTAACAAGTTCAAATTGCGTAAAGAGAAATGCATAACTGCAGTGTATAAAATAATTATTTAATGTAAAAAGCAGGAACTTATGTAACGTACAGGAGAAAAGTACAATCTGTGCAAATTTTCTCTAGCTCCGAAGTGTCTTCCTTCTCTGTTTTACGATATTTATTGGTTGAATTGTGAATAAATAGGAATGATCAAATAATTCATAATAAAAATCACAACTAATAAATTCATTCAAATAATAAATACGAATTAAGAAAAAATAATGAATTATTATTTCAATTCCTTCAAAATACTGCTTCAAATTTCTTGCTTCAATATTTTTAATTTTTATATTGCTCATCAAGAATGGGTTTCATACAAGTAAGAATATCTTCCAGAGAAGTTCTTTCTTGTTCATTCCCGTTTAAAGAGAAAATTCAAGTAAGCAATTAAAAAACTAGTTGTTAATCACATATTTTACTGCTAAATATTACAACCTATTAGACGAACTGTTTCGTGCTTCACTGCGACAGTGAATGCCTGAATGCCATATAACAAATGAAGGAGTAGAAATGTGTCCGAGAAAAGTCGCTCTCTGCCCGACTCGAGCGACTCCTCACAGGCGAACGAGAAAACTAGTAAAAGTGTGTGGAGATCGATAAGTGTCCCTTGTTTCCATTTTCCACATTTCTCTCAACGTATTCCTTGATGTACGTTGAGGGCCTAATCTTGAAAAATAATTCAATTTCGATCTGTTATGACACTAGCTGCCGAGCGAGGCACAGCGTTTTGGTCCGTTGCGACCGCCATTAGATGAAACGAGCGGTGTTGGTATTGTGAATACTAATCGCGCAACTTTTCCTGAGCAATGGCCTCGTTTCCTTCTATCTGGCACAAGAAACAGATGAAGGCACGAGCTCGCAGCGAGCACTGATGAAAACATTCCAAACATCTTATTGGCGCGAAATAGAAACTATTTTATGTTGAAGGCGAGAAGTTTAGCCCGTGATGTTCTCTAAAAATCTAAATAAATGACCGAAGCAGATCCAGCTCTATCACAGGAGACACCTCGAAGTCCTGAGAAAGTTGGATCGCAAACTATTAAGAAAGTGGCGAAGATATTGATTCATTCTCCATAGATTGGCATTGTTTCATAAAATCTAGAGGCCGATATCCTAACTACCCCTACTCTAACCGCATTTCTTCAATCCATCAGTCACAAAAATGTTGCGCGAGTAATATCAGTTCAGACATTGCGACGGATGTAGGAGAAAAGTGAGTTAGCACGAAATTGTAATTAATACTTTTCAGTCATAACAGCAGGAATTTAAAGAACGCAAAATCATTTTAAATATTAATGGGAATTAGAATGTACTTGTATTCGAAAACGAAATTAGAGTAGGAAAGAATCATAGAATTTTCTTTCAATGAACAATTCCTTTCGATCATTAGGAAGTTGCGAGTAGATACCCACACATGGTATTGATGAATAATTATTCTAATAAATCAAAATAATTATTTGGCGAACAGTGAATAAAGAACAGAACCACAGATGGCTTTTTTATTATAAATTGACATTAGGAAATATTACAATAGAATTCACATGAATGAGTTGACTCAAGAAAGAAGATGTGGTGGACGTTTCAACCGGAATTCAGCCGAGAAGTCTTCAATGCGCGCGATGGTATCAGTACACCATGAACTTTAAATTGACCTATTCAGGATAAATCTACGATAATGTTTTTATCAATAAGTTTTATTTATCAGTAATGATATCCTTTAGCATTGTAATGTTAAATTGTTTAATAATGTTTGAATAGTTTATTTTCTTGAAACAGGGTTGATAATTAGTAGTCAATTTAAAAAAATTAATTAACAGAACTTCCAGAAATAGGGGCCTGTACTGACAGCACGTCCGCATGTACCAAGATAAACCCTAGCATGTTTTTCTTCAAACGTTTTGTACGGATAGTGCAAGATACATTGTAAGAAATTATAAACTAAAATCCATTTTCCTGTATTTTTATTCGTTTTCAAAAATTACATAAAAGTATTTTTTAATATCTCTCACTCCTTCAATATGCACATTTCCAGCGATTTGTTTACATTGTTGCATTTAAGTGACTTCGAATAAAGATTTTCAAAAACTCAGAAGTTTTCTGCAAAAGAAAGCTTAAATATCGCATTTGCAGCAACGCTTAAAAGATATTTTCTTAAAAACAGCTCATTGTTTTCAATGAAACGTTTCTTATAATAGGAGGATTACTCTTCTTTAATATTCTAAAAGTAGTATTTCGATTCGAAACTTAAAAAAAATATACTTAGGGCGGCGATACCAGCTGGCAAGAGGATGGGGTAGGACTGTAAAGTTAGGTCACACCAAAGAAATTAGAAAAATAACGAGAAAGTCTGTACCTTTCCGTTGCACCACTAGTTTACTGTCGCTACTAACTTGATTAACTTAGAGTCTAGGCCTTTATGCTTTCTACTTGCTGTGGGTAATTCATGACCGTTAAACCTCAGTCAAGGCAAACACCTAGCCGAGCAGTTCCCTACGAGGTTTAACTAGCTTAGCTTAGTGGGGTCTGCGGCGGGTACTTTTATCTTCAAAAGTATTATTTGTGCTCTGTAACTCCATAATAAAAATATGTTTTAATACAATTGTTCACCTCGTCCTTTTTGGGGAAGAAATTTACATGAATATCAATTATAATACTTGTTTAAATTTTTATTTCCGTTTATTTCTTTCAATATATTTTCTGTGCAGTATATTTCCTGTCAACTTCCTCGTTTTGTCAGAAACAAACGTTTTTAAATGCAGTAAGTGCTTTCTGCGACACACGACGTAATTGGAGTATACTTCAAAGACGAAATTTGAGACGAAGTGAGATCAAATTCTGTATTTTCTGATTCTTTATCACAAAGAGTGTTGTTTTTTCTTATTTTTTTGTTTTTGTTTTTTGGAGAAATTTCAAATCAGAAGTTGAATCTGAACATTATATAAATTTTTCTTAGCAGATTAATTCACAACTCCAAACTCTCATTCTAAAAACATTTTAATGTCTTTAGCAAATTTTAATGACTCCACGGGAGTTAAACCTGCTGTTTCTAACTTCTGAATTGCTATAAGCGAATTTACAAAATTTGATTTTATCTACATGTTATTTTTACAGTCATGTTTTTTAGATTTTATTTAGTTTTTAAACGCAAGCGGACTGAGAGTCTACTCTTAATTATTTCTTCTCCCAATGTCCGTTATCAATTGATATTGAGTTACGGATCGTCATCATCTTTTGTTACTTAATCGCTTGATGTAGATTCATTTCGCGATTGTGGCTCACAGCGCTTGGATCCGCTTCGCAAATCAGAGCACGTGTACCGGAGAGTTCAAAATTCTAGTATAACGATTTGCAAATGTAACCTCGAACTGTAAGGATTTGAGAATAAAATGCTATGTTAATCTCAGTGCACTTAAGTCGTGACGCCCTTTGCTGTCACGGCCTCCTTAACGCTACTCTATGTATCAATCACAACTGATTCTTGTGTTGTGAACGATAGATAGAAACAATTCATCATTTACGTGGTACATTTGAACACTAGTTTTAGAGGACGGAATTCTGACGATTGGTACGCGTGTCTAAGTTGAGGACGAGGATCGGGCCTTCTGCCCTCACTAACATAAAACATCCTCTAGTCTATCCAACTCATAATTACCTACGCGTTTTATGTGAAAACGTATCTTAAGAATCATTTGGCGGATATATGTATGTATGTGTTCAGCTCATTTCAAAGTTTCTCAAAATAATAAACGATTCCTGTTTGGTGAATGATAAAACTCCTTCGCGCCGGGAGAGAAACTGATCACGCCAAGGTACAGTAATAGAGGAAGCATAAGCTAAGGTGCGCCATAAACACAGGATCAGCCGAATATTATCATACAAAAAAATTCGAAAATTTTAATTTTCACAAATTACGCAAAAATTGCTTTAAAGGGGTCTAATGTGCTATATAGATGTCAAAATATGCACTATTAATTGAAAAAAATATCCTAAACATAATTTAAACATAATTTACGCATGAATTTCTCGTCAAAACTACCAAAACACGCAAACATGCACGGAATAAGTTTACATGACTGCTACCGGAACCGCTAATAGAGGGCATTTGAGCATTTTGGTCGTGGGTGAGACAGCTGCCTAGGTCATGGTTACTAACCTTGGATACGCCGTTACCGTGGATGGTTTTTCAGCCCATAGCCGGCATCAGCCACGATATGGTCGGCCGAAGTTCGCTACCGGTCACGAATCCTTTGCTGTTCTTGTGCTTCTAAATGTTCCTCTCGATGATTCTGAACTGGGCGATGTGTCCATTGCGTTCGTGTTGTGTACGAGCGCCATGGCTTCGGCGATACTCTGCCCTACGCCAAGGCTGGGTTGCGCTGCACTGCTACTAATTATTGGATATAAGAAGATCTGCTTTGTTCTGAACACTTTCAAATACACTTCACACTGTCACACAATAGCTTAGTACTTTAAAGTAATTGCACTTGCCGAAACGGTACTTTTCGTACGCTGTAACGAGGAGAGCTGAGCTCGATGTTTGCCCTTCCGCTGCCCGGAGCGAACTGCTGAAAACTGTCCGTGTAACGCGCATTCCCGCTCGTCTAGAAATGTGTTGTAACCTCGTTTGAAAGATCGTATGCATACTGGTTGTTGGCATTCTGTGTGTAGAATTCGACAGCTTTGGCATTACGGGTGCTATTGACAAAATTAATCAGAAAATGAATATACAGAACCGTTGAATGTAACTTCAGAGCATTACATGATACATTTTCAGTCTTTAACCCAATTCAAAAGCAGTTGCGGCTGACAGCCCAGCGGACATGAGGTTGCACCTTCACCGAATGACGGAAATGTAATTTCAAAAATTCAGAATACGAACATATGAATGGGTGAAAACCAAAACGGCACACGAAACATTTTATAAATTCTGAGAAATCTGTTTATTTAATTGAATATTATTATTAAGTTAGGGTGCTTTGTTTCATCATTAAAAAGACGGATTTCAATTTTTCATTAAAACCATTTCCACTAAAATATAGCCTAATATAAACACGTTTTCTTAGAATTTATAAAATGTCACTTATACCGCTCTGGTTTTCACCCATTCATATAATAAAAATGTAAGCAATTTAAGTAAATTAATGAAAACTAATTAAATAAAAGTTTATGCTGAAAAATTACTAACATAATTTTATGCGTCGTGTTCGTGGAAGGTACACCGCCAGCGCACATGGTTCTGGCTTTGATTTCCACTAGGTATTTAAGGTAGACTCCAGCACATTGCACAATCACAATTTCTTTGACACGTTTCACACAAATAAAACTATTTTATTTCGAAAACTTCACTACCCTTGTGTATATGGCAATAATGAAAGAGCTTCGACACACATTCGTATACGCAAGAACGCTCGCAAACTGCTAGCCGGCCAGCTGCAGGCACACTGGCTTCCGCGAGAGACTAAACTTCCATCCAGAACGGCAACCTTCACATACAAAACTCATCAAATGTACGTTTTAAATCAACAAACCTTATATCAAATGAAAACAAATTCTCCAAATATCATAAAGAATAAATTGAATATGGTGAAATATTGTACTTTCAATAACAAGCGAACATCCTGACATTACGTTGCAGGGAGTCTGTCGAGCACCGAATATTGAGCTTCCCTGAGACTCCGGTCGCCGCGCAGCGCCAAGACCGGGCAACCAAGGCGGCCCGCGCCAGCGTGCTAAATCGAAGGGCCAGAGAGTAAATGCAATAAACACTGCAATTCAGCCATGAGCCGAAAGCGTGGTACAATACCCGGCAAGGCACCAGACACAAGAAAGAGCGCCAAATGCACGCTAAATGAATTGTTTCAAAATGATTTCGTATACATCAATATCGGTGCAATATCTTGAATATCGAATGCCATTAAAAGGAAAATGTATATTCCTAAACTATTATGAGATCTTTTCCCGTTATCTGGGAATTGTGCAACCGTACAACCTAAGCACGAGCCAACACTATTCGAAAGAAAAGGTTAGAATTAAGTGGCACAGGAGAAAAATGGCAATATTTATTTCAAAAATGTAAACTTAAAAGAGAATACAGTGAAACCCATTTATGCCGACCATCTTAAATTCCACCAAAAAGTGATCGTCTTCAGCGGTTTCACTTATCAAGTCTGCATTCTAGGCATGGACGTAAATACATACATATACTAGGCATTTGTGAGTTTATTAAATAAAAATGTTAAATAGTATGCAAATAACATGCCATTTATTAACAAACATAAAAACTATTGTACTTACCGTACTTACTTTTCATCATAAAATCTGATATATATTTTTTTTAATTTCTTCAGCCACAAAAATATTTTCGTATCATCTCTTATATTATTTCAGTAGCATACATACCTTTTGCGATCTCACACGCAACCGATCTTTATAAACGAGGTCTCTAAAGAATGATAATTTCACGCAGGCGCGACGTATTGCACTTTGACTTTACAAATATGAAGGATTTGATTTTAAAAAACGAACATAAATATTCATGTAAAATACACCTGGCAGCACTCAGTCAGCTATTGCCAAAGGTCCTTATGCCAAAGGCCTTAGGCCTTAGGCCTCAAATAAACGTCCCTCGCACCGTTCCGCCCCTGCTTAGCCACCAACCTAGACAATTGAGAGTCGACGCTCGACAGGGACTGCTCACTTCGACCTTGCTTTGTTTTATTGCAATACTCTTCCCTACACCCGCAACCCAGGTGTTTGAGAGGCAAGGCTCACCTTGGACTTGCATTGCTTATATTGCAAAATGGTCAGTTCTTAACCTACAACCCCTTTTAAATGAGTGGTGAAGCTCACCTCGGTCTTGCATTGTTTTTATTGCGAAACGATCCTTTTTAAATGAGACTTTAGTTTAAATGAGCCTCATTTAAATTTTAAATGAGGCTCACCTCGGACTGCTCACCTCGTAGTTGGTTTGTTTCTGTAGCAAAACGGTCTAAGCCAAGAACACGGGCAATTGCGAGGTGAAGCTCACCTCGGCCTTGCAGCGGGGTTATTGCACACGGGTCCACATTAAACCAAGAGCCGTGCAGACCTCTGACTGCGGCGAGGAGAGGTCGAGGCCGGACTGCGAGCTGTCGTCGGTGGCGGAGGCGGCGGCGAAGGCGGCGGCGGGGCCGGCTGGTAGCGAGCACCAGAACGTGTTTGCCACGAATTTGTTTACCTCTCCCCGTTTATCTTCCTTTCAACATTACAATTTTTCTCGCTTCATATCAGCTGATAAAGGAATCTCTGTCCTTCGTTTCCTCTAGAAACTCTATTATCTTTCATTTTCTAATCAAATAATCTCGCAATCACAGCCTTTGATTTTCTTTAGGTGGGAGAAACCAACGGAAAAACTTCATAAAGAATGTTTATCACGGCGACTGCTATACAGTTTGGCTCCATTCATCTACCATGTTTTGCGTCGTGATTGTCTTAGCAGTTGTTGCAGCGGTAAGTAATCGCGAGCTCTAATTATAGTAGCAGTTCTTGTGTGGAAATTCAAGTTGAATCTGCAAATCTTATTCAGTTGCGAAATGTTATAAAACTCGTTAATTAAAATTACTGCAACAAGCATTTAAACAATCTTTTCCAGTAAGTGTAATATATGAATATGAATAGAAGATAAATGATTTTATTTTCTAATATTCAATATTTGTTTCATTAAGCCTTCTAGGTTAATAAGCGTACATTAATATTTAAATTTCATTATACAGATAATTGCATAAATAATTAATTTTCTTAGTAAGTTTATGCATCCAAATATTTAATCGACAAATACTCGATACAATTTTAAATTTTATATTACCTTATGGTATTTTTAAACGTATGATCTAACGCACACCTCATTGTTTCATTAATTTTTTCTCAACTTCACACTAAGAATTTTTAAAACATATTCTCTCCGATTTAATCATTAATTACATTTCACAAATAAATGTTGAATTCAAAGGATATAATCAAGCTAAGCCCGCCAATACGTAATATTATTTGTAATAAAATACAGTTTATATTTAAAATAATATATCACAGATATTCATGAATAATACCTTAATTTATAATCCTGAATTTCGACTGCAACCTGTGAATTTACGTTACCAAAATATATTAAAAGTCTACATTCATTGAAATCTTGTGTTCAATTAAGAATAATAGGCCGCAGATTTCGAAAGTTGCTGATAAATAATTCAAGAGAGAGTAATATTTTTAATTACTTTTCTGCAGAAAACATAAAAACATATCTCTTCAATTAGTATTTCAACAGCTTTTATCATATCAGATTTTGTTTCACTACCTAATTATGAATATTAAAATTACGATATCTTGCTACCGAATTTACAACTGCATCTTGTATTCACATTTTTTGAAGAGGAATTCATTTTAAGGGAGACAAAGATGACTTTGTTACAAGTTTAACATCGTCATTTCGGAAAGAAAGAGATAGCTGCTTTCTGGTTCAAATAGGAAAAATAAAAACCATTTAAAAGGTGTTGCTTGTTTTCAGTGATAGACAACGTTCATTTTTTTCGAACGTCTCACCATCAAGTGCCTGTGGGTACTCTCAGCGTGTACGAGGTATTCCACATCTTCGCTGCTTGCCGGAGATTCTCCAGATCAGTAGGGTGGGTGGTTGATTAGTGATTCCGGGCGCATCAACCCGTATTCGTGGATGCGTAGCGGAGAAACCGCGTAAAATATCGATGCGAGCAGACGGCCCCCACAATTCTCTTCCAGACAGGGACAGGGACAGGGGCAGGGACAGGAAAAGGTGCAGTTCGTGACCCTAGGGGTCTGCTCTAAGGGTTCTCCCCCATTCGCCTGAAAACCAGTGACCACAGCCCTCGGCTGCGAATTCGATCCCGCCTGGCGGCGCCGACTATGCGATGTTAAAAACACATCAGGCAATTTCCGACCCCTCCCGGTGGGAATCGAATCCGCGTCCTCCCAATCATCGACATGATCGAGCTACAACGATTAACTCTCGCTGCCACAGGAGCTGATTATAGACTACACTTGGTTAATATTAAAAACGACAAGAATAGCTTACTGAAATAATAACCTTAGTATAGTATGAATAAAGACTGTCGCTTTGAAGGGCTGAAAGAACGTTGAAAACATTCATTGCAACAGGTGGCGGCGCCGTCGACGGCGGATGTCGTGGAGAAGAAATTCGACCCGCGAGTGTTCAGCTCGAGGGCGGGGCGCGCGTGGGAGGTGTGCACCAAGGCGGGCGCGGCCTGCGATGCCACTTGCCGCCGGACGGGCATTTGCATGGCCACAGGCGGCGCCTACGCCTTCCGCGAGACGAGCCACTGCGGCGAGCGCGTGTGCGACGCCAGCGGAGCAGTGGCCACCTGCGCGGCGACCTCCGCGTGAGTGCCTTCGTTCCATCCGACACACTTGGCGTCACACGGGTGTACGCAGACTACACAGACGAGAGGGGTTTGCCAAACAGATTTATTCACAAAAGTTAATTATTTTTCGGCGTCTACCTACAACAATATAGACCACATTTCGGTTGTGATTCCATCGTCTCCTGGTCTCTTTCTTAATTTAAGTTTTCTGTAGTTGTATGCACCTCAGAGTTAATGATAAAAGAGTATTGATCCTAGTTAAGACTAAGTGCATTCCAACTACACCATGTAGTTGGTCATGAATCGACGTAATAACAAATGAGGGCAAATAACGTTCATTCTATTAATTTTAATATACAATATAATTAAAAAAAGTATTTTTTACCATACATCGTGTTAATAAGAATAAGTGATAACATATGTATGGCACACTACCTTTTATTACGAGCCAAAATCACAAAATGTGGTTGAGTAGAAAGTTCAAATTTATTTTTCAAACAAACCCCTTAGTGTTTAAATATATATTTATCATTCAAATGGATGATACAAATAACTCTTCATAATACGATGTCGATATTTTTGTCATTTTATTTTCGTTTCTTTGTATCTTTTATAATCATTATAATAATAATTTGAAAATTTGAATTCTTTATAATTTGTGCTTTTCAGTTGCGCCCCTAATTCTCAAGAGCTAGGATGCGACATGACTGGTGTGTATCCGGATCCTTATAATTGTCACAATGTTCTCAACTGCGTAGCAGGGAGAGTGGCATCATCTGTAACCATCTGTAGCGAAGATACGTCTTATGACAGTTGCACTGGTTTTTGTGATGTTATACTACCCGGGCGTCAATGTTTTCCCCAAGCACCCTTGTGCAAATTTATTGGGGATTTTGGCACTTTGCCTTATAATGATCGCATCTACTTCTACTGTGTGCAGGTGAGTCCTCAATTTACAGTTTTAAATCTCTTTAGAAGCTTTAATAAACACAATGAAAATATTTCGACATTGATGATCCTTTCGCACCGTACCGCCGATCTCACGGCGTCTGGCCGTGTAGTTTAGTAATTTCATGCACAGGTTGTACTAATTTATGAATACAATGTTACATAATATATTATGTTAATGCTGAGGCTCACAGTTTGTGGGCAAAACTTTCACATCTCACTAATTTCAATATATCTAAAATTCCACAATATTTTCACAATCACATACAATATTAACAAAAGAAAACAAAGTCTGAATATATTTTTAAAAAAAATGGAAATTTATGAATTAATGTATTAATCATGGATCACAAATTATCGATTTCCCGATTTTTCGATGCACATGAAAAGTTTTCTGGTCCTGATCCCTTACCTTACACCCGAAATAAAGTTCATAATACTTCCTTCTCAGAAGATTAAGGTTTGGTTTTAGCGATTTAAGAGTCAAATCTCTCAATGATGGTACGCAACTGGGACGAAACACGATTCTATCTGTTCGAGCATTTCTCCAAACCTTTCTCATTTCCTAAAGGTGAATTTTCTGAATTCAGTGTCATTTCTAGGTATTCCTTGAACACATTTCCATTGTTCCTGAACAATTAAATGAGCAGAATTATTAAATGAAAGTACAGCAAAATAACCAATATGCAACGTTTTCAAGCATTTCCATGAATATGAAGTAGCGTGTAACAACAGAATTGAGCTTGATAGGCACAAACTGATTTCATATTCAAATTTAGTGCCCGAGTCTTAGTTAAGAGCACTGGTCTACAAAAAATATATTTTTCTGTAACAAGAACAAACCCACTGTTTATGGAAGAAAATTTCTTTCTCAATCCCGATCAGATTTTAGAATTTCTGTATCAGCCTCAGTTATCATGAGATGATCGTGTTTGTAAATGCTTACGTATGTATGCTATGTATCACATGAATCTGGCAAACAAACACGCTCTAATACCAGTTCCAAAAGCATACAGTAAAACATACCATCACATACATGTTAAGAAAATCGAATAAACATACTCAGCAGCACTCGAACAACACTGCGTCCCTATAATTGCTTTGTTAATGCTTTTCCATCTGAAAAATCTCTTGATAAAACAGTTCGACATGTTTGACTAGAAGGGCCCCCGACTTATCTTGGAAAAAGTCTAATTCATCATTCAAAAATGTAGTTTACGTGATATGTTACGTCTCATACGGTAAAGTGATATCAATACTTTGTGTAGTATCGCGATAGTTCTCTGTTTTATCTTCTTCCTAAAAAGTTTTTACAAACTCATGTGAAAGGCAGTAATGCCTTCTTTTCATCATCACAAAACAAATCAACGAAAGGTTTAGCAGCTATTAACTTTCCAATACGTCTCCTTCAGGTTCACTGCATGAACAGTCGGAACATGACATTTGTTCCCATAGTGGAGAAGTACTGCTTTCAGATTCATTTTGTTAGAATCTATTAACAAGCGCTATTCAGTTACACTGAAATCATGGCCAACAGTCTCCATAACGGATTCGATAACATTACAAAAAGCTCACAAAAAACTCACTTTCATACTGGGAGAAAGAAGATTTCACTCTTTCAGTAGTGAACCTGATAGCTCAGACTCTCGCTTCGACACATTTCGCAATTTATTAGTTATTTTTCCATAAAAATAAAACAAAGTTGGGGCATGTGGCATTTCTTCTGCTCAATTAATACAAAGCATATACCTTCACTAACCTTGAACAAGAAACAGTCTCATTCAAGCCCCTTTCCACGCTAGGACCTCTCAATGCTGGAACGCAACTGGCAAGGAAAACAAAATAATTCTATCTGTTCGAGCATGACTTATCAGCAATGTTGTCAACACTGTGTCATTTCGTCAACATTTTCGTAGATAGTAGCGTATCACAAGAAAACTGATCCCAATAGGCATAAATTGATTTTATATTCGAATTAACTGTTCACGTTGGCTAAGAACATCATTCACATTCGTGCTACAAAAATGCTGTTAAGTATTGCTACCAAACCTAACATACGTTTATTGGAAAATAAATTAAAATTTAGAAATTTCAAATCCGAAATTGAAGAATAACTTTATTTTTTGTAAAAGAAACATTTTTTGTTAAGTAATTAATATAAATGACAAGTACAATTGAGACCCAAAATGCTGTTTCAGATTTCTTAATACGGAAGAAATTTAATTTTATCCACGTGATTTTTTTTTCCAGGACGAAGAAGGTTTGCTGCACCCCGTATTGGGACGATGTTCTCAAGGCTATTTTGACACTGAGACTTTCAGCTGCACTGCAAGCGAAATTCCAGGCTGTATAAGGAACTAAATATTAAAAAGCAGAATGTATAAATAAAAAACTTTTTCTTTCGAATCCAGTAAGTTTTTGCGAGTTTTAGCAATAATTATATTAACGTTTTACGTTTTTCATTTCAATACAGACTCAACGAAAGTAGGGGAAAATCTGGATAACTCCAAAACAATACGATTCTGATTTTTGTCATCATATTTCACGTTTACAAATAAAATACATGTAAATAGATATCGAAAGGTATTTGATTACTTTTACTGATTTATATGTATACTGTCCATTAATTCCTATTGGGATATTTTGCTTGAGCAAGGAACATCTCGACTTCTTCCCAATGAAGTCGCTAATGGCTGTTGTATTAACGTATTTCTCTCATGTTTAATTAACATCTTACACTTGTTTGTACATTACAGCTTTATTTATATAAATAAATATCGAAATACGCAACTAGACCTAATAGATATTATCAATAAAAACCGTATCCACAGTTTTTATGACAATTTATTGGCAAATAGCATGACGTTTCTTAACTTGATTAGTTACACAATCAGGTTACTGACTACTGGAAACAGACCGAGGTGTTACATCAGTGACGTAGAATAGTAAGATATAGGTTAGGTAATGAATTGGGAGGAGTAAATATTGGCTTACCAGTTACATCAGTGTTGAAGCGTTTTTTATCTGAAAGTTCTACTAATACAAATTAACATCATTTTTTTACCGTAAAACAATTTTGTCGTACAATGTGGGCGTTATTATGAGAGTACTTTAAAATTTGGGATGATCTTCACTAGTTCACCTGTTTTACGATAGTTCATAAAAACCACGGAAAGGTGTGTAATATTCGCATATCCCTAAACAGACCAAGCAAGGACAAGTAATTTCCTGCCTTCTTTAATGGTGCCGTGCAGCGATACTTCAAACAGCTGTTCGGTAAACATTTAAAACACGAGTTCAAGTGTAGTCAGGTTCAAACCTCAGTGAACATTAATCGAAAAAAGTTAGAGAGAAAGGAGGGGAGAAGAGTTATTGGAGTGAAAGAGAGGTGGGAGCACATATTCTTGATGTATTTGCCAAAAAAATTAGGAAAAACCTAGCTTTAAAAATTAATAAAACTTTATATTTCTGCGTAGTCCCACAAAGTCAAATATACTAAATCAGCATATTTCACTCGCTTCACACACGCAATTCACTCGTATTGAATTACAAACTACTTTTGCGGGCGAGTTGACCCTCAGCTGCGCATTTTCAATTTCAGGAGGAAGCTCAGGCCTCCGCCTGGACATCCCTAGACTGTTCAATGCACAATACCATCTCATTTATACGAAAATACCAGCTTTTAGTGAAATTCACCTCATGAATCTGTTTTAAGGTAATTTCGGATATCTTTCATTACTTACTTGAAATCACTAACTTTGTCGATTTCAAAATCTATTACAAATGCGCGATTGCCCATTTTCGCGCAAAAAAATCATGAAAAATTATTGATAAAAAAACAGTTTAAATTTGTTTCATTACAAAATCAGGTATAATAATTATTAATGTGATGAATAAAGTTATAACGATTCCTGTAAATGCCAGAAAGAGTGTTGTTATTCACAGCGCGCCATCAGTGTACTCGCCATCAGTGCACTGAAATATATTTTATTATAGATTGTTTTCAATAGTAAAATGTTCATTAACGTATGAGCAGTTTCGTGCGAAAATTGAACTACATTGCAATTGATTAAAATGTTTATTGACAAAACGAAGTGCCAAATTTACGAATAAACACTCTTCAATGCTAATGAAATCGCAAACGAAGGCCACAATGGTAGTTTTAATACACACGTTTTTTCTTCTGGAGAACACAACGTTCATTTCTGATAAAACTATAAAAAAAATGACATTTTATGTTGTGAGTAGTCACCCAACTTGCATTTCAGTAGCTGAAAAAACAAACAGAATTGTTTTAGACATTACATGTGTGGAAAAAATTTAAAGGAAAATGTGGAACGGTTTATGAGAAAATATTTGTTTGTAAATGTCATTCACAAAATTCGTAAAACTACTCGTTTTTCAACAAAATTGTACATGACCTTTTTTAAAGAGCTAATTTTGTTTAAAACAAACTTAGTCTGAGACAAAAATCTCTATCTCTAATTTTGGAGGGTTTTCCCCCCTTCAATTATCGAAAATCTGGAATGTCACCGATAATTAGATCTGCACCATTCTCTTAAATATCCTTAGCATAAATTTAAAGCTAGTGTTTTAAAATTTTGAAAATGTCCAAGGGACTTATGTAAAGTATTCCCAAAATTAAAATATCGGTTTCAAATTTAAGGGGCCGCGACATTAGCTAGAACGATTGGGGAACATCAATTTTAGAGAAAACTGGCAGAACGGTTTATATGCGCTAGCGTTGTGTACAGAGGACAGACAGACGTTTTGCCGTCAATTGATTTTTCAGTGTGAAGGTCGCACAAAACATGGATTCTGGCCACATCACGTGTTAGGGGATGTTTTCTATATTTAGTAACTGAATTTAACTTCACTTTTTCCTTACTCGGGTCCGGCGGTAAGTGTTTTTGTGTAAAACAAAATGTGCCGTTTTCCGGCGCACGATTACAATACCTTCTCTTCTTATGTTCGTAAGTGCGAGAAAGTAAAAGTGTTTAGTGGGAACAAAATACGATGGAGGGATGCACTGATGAAGACGTTGTCTCTTGTTCTCGTTCTTTCTCTTTCAATCAGCGGGCGTGTAAGAACTCACTCTTAGTTCTACTGCATTGCGAAGGATTTGGAAGACATATACAAATCTGAGACAGCATAGACTTGCATTATGTAATTATTTCTCTCCAGAAAAATACATGGTCTATTAACAATATACACTATAACATATTTTAGAATACTCCATGTACGGTAACTAGCGGTAAAAAGAATAGATGTACTCCTGGATGAAAATAAATATCAATCTGTTTACAGGAACCCTGCATTAAGTAGTGTTTGTTGTTTGTACATTTTTGAAATTTTGTTTATAAGTTTTATAGAAAGTACGAAACTAGACATATTTTATAACTTTTACATTATTACCATTTGGATACTTTCACGAAGAGGATAGATTTGGGTTTCTAAGTTTAATCAAATGAATACATTTCACACTACAAGAATCTTTGATACCAAAGGCTAACTGTAACAGGCCTCACTTCCACAACAACTGATATGAAAATACGAAGATATGACATACAATCCCTGATAATACAAATACTTTTTTTGAATCTATGCAAACTTGCTGTGTGTTTGTCGGTTATTTATGTAGTTTCAACAATTATATATTTGACATATATTTACGTAGTAGATAATATAGGCCTACTGTCAGATGGTAAAAGTCTCTTGGAACATCATCTCAGGAAAATTCATAACATCAATAGTTAATGTCGATATCACATTGTTCGAATCACTGTATTTCAATGGAAAATCAGTCTTCAAAAAGTTGTAATGAAGATTGCTAGAATTATCAGAAATATTTTATCATAATATATTTCATTTATTTAGGCTTTTTGGTGATATACTCATTTTCCCTATTACAATCAGCCTTAAACTAAGGATTTTTTTCAAAATATACTTTCACATATAGATTTATACACAGTCCATTGTCATTGTTATGATTATACAAAAATGATAAATAATTATTTGTTATTTTTTGCACCATCGCCAATGAATTGTGAAGAATAAAAAACTATAAGGTTAAAAACCAATCAAGTTTAATGATCACCATTTATTCATAGATTTCAAAACTAAGGTACTGAAGTTTGCGAGAGTTTTGAAGAACGGAAAAATTAGGATTTTAGCCTAGATGAACTCAAATAAAGGTTTTTCCACTTTTTGACTTTAATTTTGTTTCTTCTTGTGATACAGAGACAAAAAGACTCAGTTATTTTAAAATGACTGTAAATATAGTATTTTGCAGACTAAGTCTGGCAACGTTAGTTTCTACTGTGCCACATGTGGCCACACGAGACATTGGATCAGATCATCGCACAATTAGGCATTCAGATTCAGAAATCATCAACCAGAGTTTATTCCAGCTGTTTTTCTACACGAACTAATAATAGGTGTCTGACATGGTAATTGTCTGTATTAGCATATCAACAGAACACAGACAAACGTTATCACCCATCGGTCTTTTAATTTACATATGCAGATCATGCGTATCAGATCCATAAGAAATCTGAACGGTAAAATTTAAGATTTCAGTGATGTATTGAGATTGATACTAATATTACTACCATCAAAATATTTAAAGTCATAAAGCATTGCTTGATTGCAAGATTCAGAAAGTAATTGTATTACCAGGAATATTTTCAATAGGAAGCATCGGGCTCTCCGTTTTTTGGTGAATATACAAAACAAGCGACATTTTTACACACCAAAGCACTTCAAATATAATGACACATTATAATATTGAAAACATTAAAATATATAATCACTTAACAGCGCATTACAATCTGTTGTAACAAATGTATAGTATTCCACACCAAACGAAGACTCTAAACGTGCAATACTGCACGGAATGTATCCATACCTCACACATGGTGACAACACAGAACTTCCACACACGCGTCCGAAACGTCCGACCCCGAAGTGACGCCTGTGGAGAAAACATCGACTGAAGCCAAGATCCGCTCCGAGCCCCAGGCCAAGCGGCTCTCCAAGTCGGATCTTAAAGAGTCGGTTCTCGGAGCTGACTGCACCTGTGGGTGCGTTGAGGGCAGCCTGCGCGTCTATCACTGGGCATCTCCCAGTGGAGATACCGGTGCCTGCTACCTGCAAACGCGCGAAGGAAGAGTTGAATACTTTTCGTAATCTCATACTGATTAGAAGTATATTGTACTTGAACAGAACGGAAAGGCACTCGGAAGAAGTTCATTAAGGACGTAACAGTCAGCCGCCAGTCCGTAAGAACAATCGAAATAAATGAGCAAAAGATAAACGGTACATCTGGTTTTAAAAATTTTTCGGAGATTATAAGAAGTTTTTAAGATTGTAAGATGGTATTACGAAAGGTACTGAGCAACACATGGCCATTTACGCAAATAACGGACTTGGTTATCGGTTATCGCTTGGTTTACAAATTTCAGCCACCTCTGTTATTTCTTCTAAAGAAGCCCGATGACATTAATCACTAGAAGCGTCGCATAGCAATGTGTGTGGGGGAGGGGATGACTCTTTTACTCGTTCTTTAAGAAACCGATTCGTAGTTTCGTTACTAAAACTATTCTTAACCCTAACTGATAGTTTCATCTTTCAAAGGTCAATGGATTTGCAAAATCCACTTGAGACTGATGATGTACAGAACGAATTCGCATTCGGAAGAACCTGGCGAAAGTTGAACTAATTCTTCAAAGAAGGATGAGGTAATCCGTGTCCCCGCAAGAACAGAAAATGTTGCAAATGTATATGACTGCCACATCTGCCACAACAGTGACTTGCAGAAAATGTAGATGTGTTGGTAAATTCTTCTGGCATAAGTTCTTAAATATTTAAATTTTCCCTGCAATTAGTCTGCTATGAATTATGTCGTTGTCATCTGTCCCCCCCCCACACACACACACACCAACACTGAAGTTCTCCTGATACTGGAATAAGCTGTATTAGACGTACGTCGGATGTAACTTTGAGGTTTTCTTCATTTATTTGAAACTAACTTGAGTCAGATAAAAAGTTCTTAGAAACTCAAATAATTGTTTCAAATGACGGAAATATATTTGAAGGGAGAACATCACTACTAAGTTTACAAAAATTATGTATATAATGTAAAATCTCGGTATTATCGAGACTGATAAATAAGATCTCGGAGACAAATTGTTGGCAAGAACGCGACATACAGGAAATAGAACAGTAAGAGATCCAATCCAGAGAAAGAAGGAAATGGAATGCGCGTGGATTGGATGAAGAAGAAGAGGAAGAAGGAGAAGACGAAGAAGAAAAGGAGAAGACGAAGAAGAAGTAAAATAAATAGGAGTGAAAGAAGAAGAAAACTAAGTAGAAGAAGAAGAGGAAGAAGGCGGCGTACCGAGGTGCTACTGCGGCAGCTCCTCCTCGGGCACGATGGGCGTCTTGTCGCCGACGGCGCCGCGGGGCTTGGCGCCGACCTGCGCCGCCGCCGCCGCCGCCTCCTGCTGCCGCCGCTGCATCGACCCCCACGCGCCCTTGCCCGCCTCGGGGCTCGTCAGCAGCATGGCGTAGGCGCCCGCCGCGTCGCCCTCGCGGCTGTGCCGGATGCCGTACAGGAAGTACACCAGCAGCCCTGCGCCGCGCCGCGCCGCCCCCACAACAAAAGCGGACATCTTATGTACAAAAGGCAATGTTTGTTTGTTGGTTGGTTCATACTTAATGCGCTACCGTACCGTTCATCAGATAGCGATAAAACTTTTTCAACCTATTTCTTGCACTTCCGGCAAGAATATAGGCATAGTACAATGGGAATGGGCATGACTGCGCACATAGACGCGCGTTAATGATTTTATATAGATTCAAGGACTCTGATCTTTACATGACGGCGTTCTGTACGCAACCCGTTGCATACTGAAGTACGATTATTAAGACGTCTTCGTTGCATATTCTGTCTCTGCGATTATGAAATTTCTTTCGGGAGAGGCAGTTAGAGGGAGAGACAGTAGAAGACAGAGACGCGGAGAGTGACGGAGAGGCGAAACCTCACTCGGGAGAAAGTCTTTCGTCTATTGAAATTTCTGCAGATTTTTGCAGCAACGTAAAACGTAATTAACATTCACGTGACCAGTAGCACGTAAAGTGCAATACATGGCAACAGCGAAACCTTGGCGGGTCTACTAGTTGGTTCATACGTGGTATTTATTTAAATATTAAATTTGTGATCTGAAAGGTTTTAGTTTTATGTGTAAAATATTTCAATATTATTGGGTTCTTTAAATCCTCATGATTCGGGTTTCTGAAAGTACTAATCCATCCCTGTTAGCGAGGTTTTTCGGATCTGATGCTGCAAGGTTCCAGATCGTTACCCTCTGTAAGACTTATACCCTCATGCTTCATAATATTCGTACTAAAGAACGACTGAAAGACCGAAACATTAGCAAGTCTGACTAGGACTGTCTCTCATTCAGCCAAGATTGTAGTTAAATGTTAATGTTATTAGATTAGACAATTCTCTTAAAAACTGACCTTTATGTCACTTCATGGTGGGCTAACTTTCTTATTTGGCGGTCATTCAAAGTGATTTTAAGACTTCCAGATTTGGCTCCCATTTTCGTTGCTCCCAACCGACACACCGGCCTTAGTTACAATTAAATCCATCTGGCAGAGCAAATACTATTAATTAGAGCCGGAATTGAAGGAGAAGTTAATTTATGGATCCGAAGCCCCATTTTACACGCCGCAAGGACTTTATGCAAATGCGAGTTGCGCTCCGGGGAGTTCTCGTCCTCTCAAACCTTTAACTTGGCCTGCTCGCCGAAGGTGCGCTGCCCAGGTGACATTAAAATTGAAATTACGTGGAATGGAATAGGGGTAAAAAATGAAAGGGCGCTGAATAATGTAATATAATGCGAGAAATTTTAATTCTACGGAATAAAATGAAATACGATTAGGTTAAATAAATAACTTATAGAAGTAAACTACGTTAAAAACGTTCCAACTGACTGAAATTAAATTAACCTAGAAATTCGTTTAATGAAGTAACTCGATTTACATGGTGTATTTTCTGTCAATCGACGACAAATATCAAGGATGCGAGAAGTATTTCATGATTGCATTTTTGCCATGGGAAATGTAATAATAGTTTTTTAATGTAATTGTATAGTTTGTTGTAAAAAATGGCAGTGAACATTACAGGTAGTAATTAAGAAACGCTGGCAAATACAATTTGACTTTTGTTAATTAGATAGTAATGAATTACGAGAAGTATCTAAATATGTATGTTACAACAAAAACATATGTTATCTTAGAAATATCATCTCTCAGGCAATGTACATTTTCAATGTCGTTATGCACATGTACGCAAAATATTCGCCCCAAATTCATACCCACAAATACGCTTGTCTGGTCTAACAAATACAGAAACTCAATACAACAAACAAGAGTACCGTTGACAAGTAAACATGTACCTACTTAGTGTCTAAAATTCCAATTTACTTCTCTAAAGAAGTATTAGTCCTTATAATAAGTTCAATGATCGGAAGATCGTGGAGTCGATCTCGTCAAGGTTCCAGAAATGTACTTGATGAGTCGAATGTCGGTGAGTTTGTAGCGCCTGCGAGTGTCAAATCAATGGGTTGCTCCTGATCACTAGCAGGCGAATGCTGGGGCAGGACCCTATGCAGAGTGCAACGCAATCTACCCTTCGTATTTCCTTCCTTTCACCATCATCGTCATCTGCCCATAATACGCCCACTATGTGGCCTGTGAAGGCCAAGCGTACTCTGCAAATGAGCGTCTAAAACTACAAGAAAGGAAAATTTTCTGTTGGCAGTCGTGTGAGGTGCCAGTCATCCACTCGCATGTACTCGTTTAATACAGGTATTGCGATAACAAAGAACTTCGGGTGGTATCTTCTTATATTATGGCGCATGAAAAATGTCATTTTTTTACAACGACCGTCATTTCCTCTTCCTCGAACGCGTCTTCCTATCGCAAACTGACACTATTGATTGGTACTGTATACAATTTACATTGAATGAGGTAACGACCAGAAACAGAATGACGCATAATTATTTAGATAATTTTAAATTGGCGACAAAAACGTATGCCGGAAGATACGGAGTGTTCGAGTCGCTAGCTTGTACAGCAGTTAAAAACCTTCAGTGGTCATGAAGCAACCATTGAGTGTTTGCTGTGACCTGTTTCTATGGCGACATAAAATGATCTTCGCGCACACCAAAATTGTTGGCATGCAACTTTTTGTAAAGGGAATACTTAAAACATAAAGACTACGAAATCAAACCACACAGCGTAGAAGATTTAAAAGAATCAATCACGACTACAATTCCAAAGAGCCCAATACAAATGCTGAAGGATATTATAGATATTTTCATGCGACATGCAGAGATTTAGATTCAGGAGAAAGAAGATTATTTTACTGATGTTAGTTTTAAACAATAGTACTCACTTAAAATACCTTTGTATGGACTAAAAAATAATAAACACCGAAAAAATTATTTTCAAATGTTTGTTTAATTTTATATGTAAAATATTTTAATATTATTAGGGTCTCGTTAGTTGGTAATGGTTAGGCTTTACCAAGGTACTACTCAGTTCCTTAGAGCTAATGCAGAGGTGTGCCGTATTAGTTCCTTCAGAAAAGCTCATACCCTCATGCTTTATGATATTCATACTGAAGACTAGAAGGTGTCTCCCATTCAGCCAAGATTCTCGTTAAATGTTAATGTTATTAGTTTTGACAATCCTCTTGAAAATGGACTTGCAGACTTCACCCCAACGTGGGCTGCACTGTTGTAAATTTTGTATTTGACTGACATTCAATGCACTTCTAAGGCTACCAGATTTTGCTCTCATATTCCCTGCTAGGAAGCGACAGAATGGTCTTAGTTGCAATTACATCTTTCACTTACGTCTGGCAGAGCAGATACTATTCATTAGAGCGGGAATTGAAGGAGAATTTAATTTATGGATCCTAAGCCCCACATTTTAAACACCGTAAATATTTTTTTAATGCAACTTATTCTGCGATGCACAAAACACCGATATCGTTACAATATCACAGGCTTTAACCACAGTTTAAATATCACCGATGTTAAAAAATCGATGTTTTGGAAAGATCGCCATGGCTGTCGCCTCACATGTACAGTGATTATTTCGTGCTTCCGGGCGTGTCCACTGCTTTGGCCGTTCGTCCCAAGTGTAGAGCACGATTTATCAGACAAGGTGGCGGTGTCCTTTCCCCGCTGGGGGGTGAGACTTGCGGACATTTCCCAAACCAGATATCTCACACCAGAGGGCACTGCCTCAACTGGGTCAAGCTCTAAGCTCCCGACCAGTCTCCCGGCCGGTGGTAGAGTAGTGCGAGTTAGTGTAAGTATGTGTGTAAGGGGAGAGAATAGGAGAAGGAAGAGGAAGGAAACATCGTGCGCGGCCCGTTGCCCGTTTGTTAGGGTACTGCTCAGACATTCGCAAGGTATTGATCTAAGAAATCACGGAAAACTACCAATCGGAGAAGCCGCAAGGATTTTTTGCAAATGCGACTTGTTCTACTGCGAGTTCTCGTTCTCTCGAAAATTCATCCCGGCTTCTATACAAACGTTCGCCGAAGGTGCGCTGATCAGGTTACATTAAAATTAAAATTACGCGGAATGGAATTGGGTTAAAATATGGAAGGGCATTAAATAATGTAATATAATTCGAGAAATTCTACGGAATGAAATGAAATATGATTAGGTTAAATAAATAACTTCGAAAAATGAAAAGTAAACTACGTTAAAAACGTTCCAATTGACTGAAATTAAATTAACCTAGAAATTCTTTTAACGGAATAACTCGATTTACAGAATATATTTTTTGTCAAACGACGACAAATATCAAGGATGCATTAAATATTTAGAGATAACATTTTTGGTAGAAGAAATGTAATAATAGTTTGTTTAATACGAATGGCAGTGATCATTACACAGAGTAATTGACAAACGCTGGCAAATACAATTTAACTTTTGTTAATAATACCGTAATGAATTACGATGTATAATAGAATAAAATTGAAAAAATAAAAATAAAATTGAAAAAATACATTCTGCGACAATAGCAAAATGTGTAATATATGAAATGTATAACACATTTAAGTTAAATGAATATATAAAATATGTAAAAATATGTAATGAAAAATTGGATATTGTCTTAGGATGGCGACGATTCGCCAACATTACTGTTTTGAGAACGGTACGTAGAAAGACAAAAAATACATAATTACATAAAAATCCTGTCTCTAATTATCACTAAGATCTCAGCGCCAAAACCCTAAAAAATATGATTTTTGGAAATTTCTTTGAATCTTCAAGCCGGATCCGAAAACCATGATCAGTTCCCCATCTGAAGACCAAGAGGCATCATATAACACCTCATATTGGTGCACATGAAATGGTCGAGCAGTGAGTCATGGAACCGCACATTCGAACATCCGAACATGCGCACACTCGGAGTTTTATTCAAATACTGTACAGGGATTAAAGAATAATTTTATTTATGGATCCTAAGCCGCACTTCTTAAACGCCGTAAGGACTTTTTATAAATGCTAGTTGTTCTACGACACACAAAACAAAGATCGAGATGGATTTCACACCACATATAGGTTGATTATTTACTGTTTCCGGGCGCGTCGTTAATCCCTTATGTGTGGGGCATGTTTTATCACGGAATGTGGCAGTAGACTTCCCCCACTGGTTGGTGAGATCCAGCGTCGACCAACACTTCAGCATGCGGAGTTTTCCCCAACTAGATTTCTCCCACCAGCAGGGTATCGCCTCAGCCGGGACAAGCTCTAAGCTCCCGACAGTTTTCCCGACATGTGTGAGAGTGTAGTTCATGTAAGTGTGATTGTGTATAAGCAAGGAGTGATGATAGAACAAGTTATAAAAAAGAAAGATCGCATGCTGTCCGTATTACGGTGCTTTTCCGGCATTCACCGTTTGTTCACGGAAAAAATATGTTAAACTACCGAAACGTGCTGCCGGACATGCGAAATGCCGAAAAGCGAAATGTCGAAAAGCCTTCCGCCGTCTGGAGTGGAGCCTAGAGCTCTCCCGGCAGGGGCATTGCATGAAGGGCCTGGGCTGGTCGCCGTAGGAGGCAGAGCGCTCACCGATGGCCATCCAGACGACGAAGCGCGCCCAGGTGAGCGCGGGCAGGTGTGCCATCAGCGCCACGTTGGAGAAGATACTGAGCGCGGGCAGCAGCGGCACCAGCGGCACGCGGAAGTGGTCCCCGCGCGGCACCTGCCTGTGCGCCCACATCACCACCACGCCTGCAACCGCACCACCGCATTAACCGCACATCGGCAAATTAATTGCGTTTACACGAAATCAAAGAAGCAGCGTGTACAACGTATAAAAAAGTACACGATTTCATAAGAATCTCATTTTTTTCCACTAGTGGACAATATCGGTTTCATTAGTTGCTCCACATTCATCCTCTGAAATTGGATTGAGAACTTCGTGGTGGGAAAACAAAATATTGGGAACTAATTAGTCAGGAAGTCTCTTACCTTGTGAAATATATTATAATTGCACAATAACATAAACTTAACAGCATAATACAATAGGCAGGGAGATAATTCGTGAAATTTCATTGTGTTAGGTATGATTGTGAAACTAGAGTCCCTTTAAAATCTATTGCATCTGGCCAAAGTTTCTTTTTTAAAAAATGAAGAATTTTCAGTAGATGAAAAATAAATTACCCAAGACGTGCAATAAAAACACTTAATACCGGTTTCTCCCAAACAACACGTTATAACTAGATTCGGTGTTAGCCTAAAAGAAACAAGTGGATAGTATAATATTTTTTTGAATGTCCGTGGGTATAAAGGTAATGTACAAATAAGACTGACAGGCGAGCATGGCGACGAGCTGCGCGCAGAGCAGGGCCGGCGGCCACCAGCGGCCCGCGCGCAGCGGCGCCCCCGCCAGCTGCGCGAGCGCAGAGCGAGGCGCTGAGCAGCGCGAAGACGGCGACGGCGGGCGGCGGCGGCGGCGCCCGGGCGCCCCCCGCCCACGCCCGCGGCGCGCAGCCAGCGCCAGCCCGCCGCAGCCGCCCGGGCCCGCCCTCCTCCTCGTCACGCCGGCAGCAGCCCGCCCTGCAGCACACCCACCACCTACTTAATCTCATCGGCAGTTTTCAGTGCCTTCTCCGATTAACTCCAATGTCACAACGGCCACACGGGCCGCGCGCGATCTTCTTTCTCTTCCATGTCTCTTCCTCACGCCCCTACGCGCGCCACACACCACACACACCACACACCACACCTCACTTGTTGGGAGACCAGTCGGGAGCTTAGGGATTGTCCTGGATCCATTTAGCAAATGCGATGCTAGCCATGCTTTGAGATGCCTCTCAAACCTGATCAACGAGCACGTTTTGCTCTAATCCCTCTTTGAGAGTTACGAGAAGGGTAGAGCGCGGGAGGTTGTCCTTTGGTCAGCAATTAAATACGTAGATCATTTGTTAATGCAAATACGTTTTCTATTACTCGAAAGCATAATTTCGTTTTAAATGTTACCAACCAATGTAAGGAGAATATTTTTCTCATACGTAATATAAAACATTATTTTTTAAATTGAAAATCAATGAAATTAAATTAAATTGCCTCACTCACTCTCAACGACATCAAGGATGCCTCAAAGGAGTTGGCGATTGGGTGAGGATTACGAAAAGAAAGTTTGGAAAGTAAAAAACGAAACAATGAAAATAAACTATTCTAACTGATCTGAATACCAATCTCCTCTTCATCCCATTTTTCATTTTTTATTTTATTTAGCTCTTACTCTTCATATTTTACAATACTTTTAAATGTTAATTTTTTGCATTTTCGGAATCCTATCCCTACTTCGATGAAAATAAAAAGGACCCCTGTGTAACAGAACTTGGAACTAGCATAATACTTAAGCCGCCTTAGCTGCAAAAAATAGTTAATATTAATAAACAAATGAGATAAAATTAGTGTTTTTCTAGTAAAAGTATAAACGATAATTAAATTAATTATTTCCCTCAAATGGATTAATATTTTAGGAGTTTAGCCTGGTGATATTAAATACTCTAAAAAAGTTGTGAGTGAATCCCGTTTTTTTGCTTTCAACATCTTTATAAACGTACTTCAACATACTTTGACCCCTAAGATAAACTGATTTCCCCCACACCCATTCTCCCCTATTATGGGTTGTAATTTAGAAACGAAATTCGCGTGTGTAAGCCATAATATTTGAACTACGTGCGTCTACTAGGCACCTGCTGCATCGAGAATGAAAGACGTACAAGTTGCATGATTATGCTACAGCTAATTTCAAAACATTTAGTTTCCAGTTTTGACAACATGTTGACCCTCTCCACTAGTTTAAATTAAGAATTCTTTTAAAGTCTGCCTCTTGAACGTCTCATATTTTACTGTGAATCAATTACAACACGAAAGTATACATTGATGAAGTATGTGTTCAAAATTCTCTCCGAGAACGACTTTGCAATCAAGCCTCGATAAATATTTTATGAGGAAACTTGCATTTCAGTTTGCACTTCCCGTTAGTTATCCCGAGACCTGGTGAGGAGAGATAAAGAGAGAGTGCTTCTAAGAAGTTCACAGGGAAAAGCCGCCAGTGAAAT